TACTGTAGATAATATTGATTTTATCTGTGCTGGTATACCTCGCCATATTTGAATAGCTATAAAGAATAAACAATTGGTATGTCTTGTTTTATATAATGATTTAGATAATAAAGAAGATTCATTTTTTAAACAATTAACAGCATCATCTAAAACAATAATTGTTTCTATGGGTTTATCACTAAATTTTTTAAATATAAACATTCTAGTATAGAATCATCTTTATGTATTTCTTTTCTAATCATTTTATTATAAGTTTCTTTAATTTCAAGGAATTGAGGATAAGCTTTTTCAAATTGTTCATATGTAAATTTAAGTATTGGAATATTTATTAAACGCTCATAATGTAATAAAGTTTGATCAGAACCAGTATTATTAACCCAAATAATAAGATGGAACTGACTATGACCGAAAGCAGTAGAAAATTTATCAATTTTAATAAGTTCTTTACAAATTGAAGTTGTTTTAGAACAACCCGGCTTACCTATAAGTAGATTTATAGATCTGTGCTTTACAAAAACTTCTGGATGAATAGTATTCATTGTTGTCTCAGACTTATCGGGAGCATATTGATTTATTAATGTGTTGACAGATTCATTTAGACTAACTGACATTTTTTACTAAAAATATATTCATAATTATCATTATTTATTCCATAACTCCATATCAAGATATCTAATAATTTGACTATCTTTATTTTCAAATTCTTCATAATTTTTAGTTCTAATAATCATAAAAGGTTTTAAATCTGGGTTAAAATTATTCTCATATTTATTTTAAATAAATTTATTTTCGGAATAAATATATTTACTAATTTTATTATTAGCAAAATATTGTTTACCATCTTCAGATAGAATAATATGAGTTTTACCAAATTTTGTTTCTATTGATTTATATCCAATTATTTTATAAACAGAATTTTCTTCTAATTTTTGAATATTAGTTTTGTATTCTCGTGAGGTCATCCTTTTTAAGGAATAAAAAAAATATAATTTTTTAAATTATTTTTAAATTATTTATTGAACAATCAAATGGGTTTTCATAATTTAATAGTTTTACAATACTTCTATTCGTAAATTCTGGTAAAAATTGTTGTGCGACTAACCTTCTTAACGAATATTTTTTAACATGTTTGTCTTCAGATAAATTAACATAAGCATCATATTGTAATGATGGTCTTAACATTATTTTTATTAATTTATTTTTCTTTATATTTTTAATTTGTCCTAATTTATTAATTAAATATTTTGGATTAACTTTTAATAATCCAAATTCTTCCATTTTATAAGGGTAAAAATATAATTAAATCTATATTTTTTATTCCTTAAATCCTAAAGTTCTTTTAAAGAAATTTTTAGGTAAAATCGAATGAATTCTTTATTATAGTAGAAGTCGTCGTTTAATAAGAATTTTAAAATATCTTCTTCATTTTTTAATTGATTATATTTTAATATAAGATATAAATACTCAAAAGATATTTTGTAAAATTTATTTAAATAGTTTTTAGTTGAATCATCTTGTTTTAAAATATAATACATAACTTCTTTAACTAGCTCGTTATAATCACCGAAATAATATTTTTTTTAATTTGTTCTTTCATCAAATCTAAATGATCAGATAAAGTAGAAATAATTACGTGTACGTGTGTTGTGCTCATTTTAGGGAAAAAAAATAAATATTAAGAAAAATAATTTAAAAATAAACTCGGTACTATATTTCCGAATTTTGGAAAAATTCAGATTCGTGTACCTCGCGATTTAATTAAAATATTATAAAATATAGATAAAATGTTGTCCACCCTAAATCTACAGAATTTATATACTACTTTGTGTTAAAAAGTTAATAAAACGGTCGAAATTTTAGATGGTCAATTATTTCTTTTATAACCAGTGTATGTCGGGTCTTTTTTTGTTAATTATACAATAATACACCATTCAATTTTATGCCTTTGGCAATAAAACCCGTTATTTTAAACAATTTTTATTGAAAAACTAAACCCCTTAATAATGGAAAACTGATTTTATTGGTCAATAAATGCCAATATTGAGGGGTGGTCTTATTGAGGGAACCCATTATTGAGGGGTTTTACTGTAATACTAAACTTCGGACATTAACAAACTATTATTAAAATATATATAGAAAAACGCTAAAAATTGTATTTTTTATTTGTTAAAAAAGCATTTTCAATATTATTTTTTCATAATAAAAATAATGAATAAATTATTATATATACCAATAATTATTTGTTATTTTAAAAATAATCATACTGTTATTACCATCAAGTGTTATATTCGAATGTTATAATAATTACCTGATAAAAATCAATTTCAAGTAAATTTTAAATTAATAAATTGTTAATCAAATAGAATTAGTTTCAAAAAATCATCTTTTGTTCCTTAATCGTATTTTTCGAAGTCATTTTGATTAAAATACCACAATCTGTTAAATTGGTCTGTAAAATATTTTTCAGTTGAGAAAAAGATCTTTCAACTATACACGATGTTGGAAATATCGATGTCATTGTTGCATCAATTACACACAGACCTGGTAAATCGTCACGTTCTATTTGAGACATTGCTGTCAACAAAGAATGTAAAGAATAACGAGGTAAAGGACATGCCTTGAACAAATTAGATTTAATAACATTTTCTCTTTTCTTTTCGGCTGCTT